CTGGGGAGCATGGATGACCTCTTTATCTGTATCTGAACTTCATCTCCCGCTTTGACAGCGTGTTTCTCCTTCTATCAATGTCCAGACTAAAAATGAAAGTAGAAAAGCTACAACCAACTTCCAGCTTTAAACAGCTCAACATCCATCCTGAGATGCTTGATTCAAAATCTCTTCTTGGGTTTTTAGTGGTTCTACTAACACCACATCACTGTCTTTCAATCCTACAAGAATGAAGCATGATGTGTGGTATTGACCGACTGACTTTTTGGTAAAATACGCCAATGCAGTCATCCTCTGGCTACAAATATCCACAGGATGAATAGATGTGTCCTTTAGTAACTAGGAGAGTGCTTAAAAAAGAACATTTTATTGCTGTGTTGCCTTCACCACAGTAAATTGCAGCATTTTCATTTTCCTGTATTTATTGCATTGAAGTGTTTATATCACTGTGAAGCAAATATTTGCTTTCAAAGGTCACTTGTTGTGTCTCTCTTCCTCTGGAGATATATGTAGGTCCCTCTTAGACTTCAGTATAACTCCATGTGGGTTATATAATGTTCTTGATACAAGATTCTTTATTGCATCTGAGCACTACTAAAATAGCAGATGCAGAATTCAAAGTATAATAGGCAATGCCTTTCCATTAGCCAGTCCCTCTTTCCTTTAATCTTTAACATTTAGTCTGCTATGCTTCTGTGCAAGCACTGGTGTAACATACAAGACTGTCACAGAGAATTTGATGTAAGTCATCCAAGTGCTTCAAGTTACTGCATTATCTGGAAGACACAGCATAGCTTGGAACACGCTGTACACAGTATTTTCTAGCAATGTTTGGACTTTCGTCTCCTTTTAAGAGAGCACCATGGATGTGTGTGTGTGAACCCAGAGGATTTCCTTCCCCTTTTCTGAAATGGAAGAACCAAGGTCCTTGTGAAATTTTGAGTTTGAATCTGTATAGACAAGTATTGCAAGTATAAACACAAATTGACTGAATGTGAATGTCTTCTTCAAATCAAAGTTCTAGATCTACAGAGCTTAATATATTACATCCCTACTTTGGTTTTCTGCTCTGTCAGTAGGGACTGTAGACTCAGTTGACAGTTTCAGTCCTCATTTTGGAGAGTTTATTTACAGTTGTATTAGAGGTTCCTAAGGCAAAGCTAGGATTTTGATACTTGGTTCAAATAAACTTACATGAGAATGGAATGCAAAATATCAACTAGTATCAAAAACATAAATTCCACATGGAATTTATTACCCAAAGTCCACAATAGTATCTTAGGCCTGTTTCTGTTCTACTAAAACAAGATCATATTTCAGTGGGCCCAAGACAGACTTATGCTTTTGAAAGTCTGTTCAGTATCAGTGAGAGCAAATCCTTTATGGTTTACCTTTTCTTGGCCATTCCTGAAATCATTCCATTTCAATGTTTTAACATAACAAGAGGACTATATGTAGTTGCTCCTAAGAAACACCATAGAGGGAAAACTATTAATTTGTACTTCAGAGAAATAACTCCCTTTAAAACATAATTCTTCTCTCTACAGGATTTTTATTTGGTAACAGGGTCTGTTGTTGGAAATTCATGACACTGGAATGGAATTTCTGCCTAAACAGGTCTTTTCAAGGAAAATCCTATCTTTAATCTGTCCTATTCCACACTATAAATTGCAAAATCTGCAAAAAATTTCAACCCATTCCCTGCCACCTACAAAATATATGTAGTTCATCATACTGTCTGCTAATCAGTAACCTTTATTGATTCTTGTGCATGGTTTTCTGTTAAATAAAGTTGAATCAGCACAGCTGCAGGGCACTTCGGTTTATGACCAAAACTTGATGTAAAATGACTTGTCTGGAAGAATGCTTTTTGCTATTTCTCAATCCATTCTAAGTGCCTTACAAACACCAAACAATCTCAATAAACCTGTCAGGTTCGATCACTTGCTACACAACATCTCTCTGGTTACAAGCTCTGACTTTTTTTTAGCTTGATGCAAAATAAGATCTGTCTGTCACTAAGATGCCGACTGATGGTTCTAACTAACCAAGAAGGATAACTAAATCAAACCCACAAGAGCACGCAGTGACAGGACAAGAGGCAGTGGCTTTAAACTGAAAGACAGAAGGTTTAAATAAGATATTAGGAAGAAATTCTTTACTGTGAGGGTGGTGAGGCACTGGCACAGGTTGCCCAGAGAAGTTGTGGCTGCCCCATCCCTGGAAGGGTTATAGACCAGGCTGGATGGAGCTCTGAGCAACCTGGTCTAGTGGAATGTGTCCCTGTCCATGGCAGGGGGTTGGAACTGGATGGTCTTTAAGGTTCCTTCCAACCCAAACCATTCTATGATTCTATGAAAGTTTCTCCACTTTGTTTCTTTTTTGCACCACCCATCACCACCACTGGCTCACGATCAAAAACATTAATATGGAAAAGATAAAAGCTCAGGCTGGAATCTACTTTATTATTTGCTATTGTCAGTAGAAGAACTCATCTCTCCTTCACTTGCTCACAGGTCTGTAGTCATTCAGCTCACTCTGGATATGCTTGGAGACTGAACCAGATTCCCTATTAGCATCCCACCCTCTCACTGATGCATCACCTCCCACTTTACAGCTAGTAAGATGCTACCAGACAGACATAGCACAGAATCAGCGTTCTGCCCCTCACAGCTATATGTATGTACCAATTAGATCAGTCCCAAAGTCCTGTCTAAATTGTCCTGATTTTTGCTAAAGCTCAGAGCTGCTATTCTGCCAGCACAAGCGTAGTGAGGAATCCAGGCAGAGAAGAATATTTTAACTAGATGTTCGAACCCAGGCTTAATCCTGGTATTCTGTCACAGAGGCTGTGCCAGGAATATTTCAATGCCGAGTTTTGCCTCAATCTGGAAAAAACCCCTCACCATTTGTGAAGCAGTGACCAGTGCTAGTGCCAGCCTGTGCCAAGTGGGACAGGAGTTTGGAGCACAGTTCTTTAATGAAATAACTTCTTTTCATCCCGGCTGAGCAGGCTCCATTTGCTGACCAGGAGCAGTGTCTTCCTGGAGCTTCCTGGTGACACAAAGGGCACCGTGGGCACAGCAGCAAGGTGGGGTGGCCTTGAGAGTATCCCCACACTTCTACATGCCCTTCTGGAGGAGACCAATTCCTGGTTCTTCTTTTCCTCTCAAACCTCCAAGTGCTCCATTTTTTGTAATGCTTATTTACTGCTGTTTGTAAGCATCCTTGAAGTGTCCGATATCAGCCTGAGTATTAGCCATGAAATTAAGCTCTGCATTTGCATCAGCTGGGGCTGCAGATGAGTTGCTTAAGCTTGGTCGTTTGCACTGCTGTGACCATGCATCTGGCAGGACCAGGTGGCCTTCTTCTCCAGCATACATTTGGGCTCCTTAACATCGTGTGACCCATCACAAAATGTCAGTTTCCCTCTGACAAGGATGTGGTGATGTGCTTAGTGATGAAAGTAGGATGCAAGGCCAGTAGCTGCAGGGCTGACACTTGGAGATGGATTTCTTCCTGCTGTAGCTTCAGAGAGGGAAAGCAACCATGAGTGAGGGCACAGCTAATGCAAAAGCATGAAGGTCACATATTCCCTCTTAGATAAGAAAACCAGCAAATCTCTTGCTGAAGCTGCAGAGACAATGCAAAGAGCTGTCTGCTTTCCTCATACATTTCTAAACAAACAGGGTATAATCCAGAAAATATTGCTGCCACCCAGCTGTACCTTTTCAGCCCATACTCCTGACATCCTGATGGAGAGCAGTCAAATTGAGGAATGGATTAATCTCCAATATATAGTAACTTCCATTTAAACACAGTTGTTATTGTTAAAATTTTAGAGCCAAGCTCTGCCCTGACTTATCTTGTTCCATAAAGTCTGCACATATCGCAAAGACATGACAGAAAATAGCCCCTGGGATTTTGCCTTCTTAAAGCAGCTTTGCTGAAAGGAGATGCTTTTGTCCTCTATTCTGTAATTGAGCATGATGGAATCTGCTTTATGGCTGCTTATTTGCAGTCCCCCACAACTTCCCCACCTCCTCTGCACCTGGGATTAAGTTTTCCTGCAATGAACAAATCTAACATTCAGTGAGCAGTAATTTGAAATGTGCCATGCTTGAATCAAGCCAAGGAATAAGCCACTGTTGTTGTTACAAAGACCTGACAGATGGTAGGAGGACCCGCCTTTCTTAATCAAGTCATTCTCAGTCATCAGAGCTCGCTTGAATTTGTAACAAAAAAGAAACCCTACACAAATGAGGCAGAATGGGCTGCATCCTGATCTCTGGTTAGGATGAGCTCATTGGTGTTGCTCTGTATCAAGAGGGATAATCAAGTTTGGAATCTGACCCACTTTGGAGAGGAGTTCAAAATGCCAGTTACGTCCTACCGTCAGTTCCCCCAAAATGAAGGATTCTCCCAGGTAGACGTCTTCTCCCAGTCTTGCTGTAAATATTGTTTCATAGCCTGAACTATAGCATGGTGGGCAAGTCATTAGCTGACAAAAATCTGCAGTTTCATTGTTTGTAATTTAGTTGCAAGCGTATCAGCTGAGCATCTAGCCCTCCAAGTGATGCAGCTGAAACATGGGACATGAGGGGCATAGCCTTGACTTTGACCTCCTTCATGTTAAACCTTTTAACTCTAGAGAAGAATGAATGGGTTTTAAGATGGTTTCTGGCAGCAAATAACATCTCCTGCTTCTCCAGCTATGATATGAATAGCATTTGAAAGCTTAAGAAAAAAGGAAGGATTTTCTTTAAAGAACATGCTGAGGATACATCCTTGTTTTTTGAGAGTGATTAATGATGTAGGAATAAAGCACCACCTTGAACAATCCCATGTGCTCCCTACTGCGTAGGAATTGCTCTCCAGAACGAGAGTTTGGGTGAGGGCGCTCATGTAATAAAAGCACTTTTGTGGGACTGACATTTCAGCACAATTCAGTGAGCCTGGGAGCCTAACCACACTGTTCCTTTTCCTTTTTTTGCTGTCTTCCAGGCTCACAAGCAGCTGAGAACAAATCCTTGATCTGCAGCATCCACAAACACACCCACAGCTAAAATGGCGGAAGACGCGGATATGCGCAATGAGTTGGAGGATATGCAGCGGCGTGCGGACCAGCTCGCTGATGAAGTGAGACCCACGGCTAAAATGGGAACGTGGGGCTGGGCTTGGTGTGAAAGGCACATCCAGAAATAGGAGCTGATCCTGCAAAAGGATTTCTAGAGCTGATTCTGCTTTCCCATCAGCTTTACGCTGAAAGCAGAATTGGAAGTGAAATGAGCTGGGGTAAAACTTAATGTTGTGTTTAGTCTAAATTAAGGCATTTATTGATTTTGAGTTTGGTCTAGGTATTAGATTCTGCATCAATTTGACTGGCCTCAGAGCAAAAAGCAGCAATTTAATATTTTGTGAGGATTCCTTCGATTTGTCAAACCTATTAAATGTTAAAAGTCACCAATTAGGTCTCTGAAAAGTCTTAGCTGAAAACCACAGACTATTTTTAAAGTGGAACAGCAGCTGTTCTAAGCACCACTGCCGCAATGTGTGAGCAAGGGGAGCACAAGCCTTAGAGACTGCAGCTGCCTCACAATGCAGGGGCAACTGCTCCATTGGTGAGGTAGAAAGGGGAGCTGGAGCTGGAGCTGTAGAGGTCACCAGTGCCCTGTTGATGGCCTGTTTTTGAGGGAAGGCAAGGAGCATAGCAAAAACATCCTGTCAGCATAAGCCTGCATATTAGTATTGGAAAGTGTGTCTTGCCAAATCTGAGTGGTTTTTTCCTCTTTTTTTTCAGTCCCTTGAGAGCACCCGTCGAATGCTGCAGCTTGTTGAGGAGGTAAGGGCTTTCATTTTATTTGCACCTCTGTTGTGAGCAAGGGTGCTAGAGAGGCAGACACTGGAAATGTTTTTTATAAAGCTCACATTGCTAGGGCATGGCCATGGCTTTATGTGTCACTCAGTCCCTCCTTATCCCTACCCCTTCCTAGGGCCGTTCAAGTTTCCAAGTGTCACACTGCATACCAGCAGCTGAGGCACTGTTTTGCCCATACCTGAGTATCCACTGAGACAGGATACTCGAGATACACCAAGGAAACAGCCTCTGAGGGTGACCTGGAGTCAAGGATAAGTGGCTGAGTTTGCTGCAGAGCTCCAGAAGCCTTGTGCCAGCACCGCTCTCATGTCCTTGTCACAACACTGCAAGTGGGGAAGGTGAGAAAGGCCCTTGGTCCATTTCCCCAGTCATCTCTAAATACTCCCCTCTCCATAAACACTTGCAGCAATTTATAGAACGTGGGTCACAGCATTTAATGCCATTTCTTTATGTGTCTTTGAAATATTTATCAGGGCTTCAAGGCTCATGAGGTGTCCTAGACTGACCAGTAGGAACAGGGAGTTCTCTGATTTTCTACAGTGCTAAGAAAGGTGTCCCTGGCTCAGCCCTCACAGCAAATGCAACTTATACCTGCTTGAAGGGGTCACTCCCAGAAGGCAAAAACCCAATTCAGTCAGGCTGTATCTCACCCTCTTCACAATAAAGGGATTTAAAAGTTGGAAGATCTCAAACTCAGTTTAGTTTAGAGTTTTCAGCCATCAGGTGCTGGAAAACTTTGCTGCCACCTGACAGGACACATTATTTTCAGACACCATGCAAGCCTTGGTGCTGGAGCTGGTGACATTTTTAATCAGGGTCATGAGCACTGACAGTCTCAGTACTCCTGACAACCAGAGGAGTCTCCAGCAGAGACAATGGGAAGAAAATTGCATCAGGTCCCATGTTCGAGAACAAGTATAAGCCCAGCCATAGGCTTTATGGCCTTGAAATCAATCACAACTGTGAAGATCAATGAAGTCCAGTGGAGACAGAATTCAATTTCCGTGTACAGACAGACAGATGGGTCATTGAACAGATTCAGCATCACTTCTTCTCCACAAACACTTCAGATCTGGGCCCCTTGCAGCCAAAACATGCTCTTATCTCATGAGCAATCTGTCCCTTTTTGCTGCTCAATTCCCTGGACACACCATTTCTAAGCATTATTTTATTTCAACTCTATGCTGCATGCAGCTCCTGCTTAAATCAATGCAACGACATGGAAGAGAGTCTCATATGAGTACCCCCACAACACAAGGCAGGAGAGCCTGCTGCCCCCAAATGCCTGTGATCTAAATAGACAAGGCAGATGATGAGTGGGAAGCAAGAGAGGTACAGGAAAGGGAAGTGATTTGCACAGGGCCAAGCCATCAGTAAATATCAGCCCTGTCTCTCCTGAGCCTTATTTGTGTGACCTATGCACTGCTTGAGTCTTCCTAACATATTGAACCAGCATATTGTGAATGCCACTGGAATTTCAGTATTAAATCATGGCAAATGGCAAAGTGGGAGGAGAACTGGGACTGCTGAATTTACCAATGAATTTATGTAGGACTCCAGCACTTCTTGGAGGAGCTTGATGTCTCTCTGGACGTGGCGTTTATTCAGATGCTACAATATCCTCCTGTCCAAACAGAGAAGTTGCTAAAACTAGCACTGAGTAGTCAAGGGAGTTCTTCTGAAATGAGCTGAATATTATTTTCACTTATGTGACTACAAAAGACCTTTAAAATTCTTCTGTGGTCTAAACAGCTGGTTGATTATTCTGATCCCATTTCCTAGGTACTTTTAAAAGAATGAAGCATTGAGGGAGTGAGAGATTTTGCACTGAAAAGACAAATGATGAGAGGCTTTGAAATCGAACTCACACTGCTCTGATTTAATAGACCCCCAAAATCCAATTAGACTCCCTTACTTAGCAGAACCTGTCTAGTGGGTAGAGATAGAAGATATTCTTTCTCAGTGAAAGAATGCTTTTAACTCTATTGTCTTGATACAGAAAATCTGTTATTCCTTTCTTAGGAAAAGGATGCTTCCATGTTTAAGCATTATTACTGTATACGTATGTATGGATTGCTGTCATAGTGTGCTCTGCTCTGTTAGATACTAGGAAAATACAGAGTAAAAAGACTGACTTCAATCCATCCTAGAGTCAGAAGAGTGCTGTCTACTCAGGGGAGCCCTGTAGCAGTACAAGGCATTGGTCATATCCCCCAAAGGATCCTTGCCCAAGAAGACTAGTCTGAGATGGAGACTAAGTCCTGATGCTGTTCCCAGGGAACATCAGCAAGGAAAACTAAATATGTTACTGCTTCTTGGTTTTATAACCCACCTTGGCAAGAAGCTGATTTTTCCAGTCCTGGCACAACAGGGAAGGGAAGAAGTGGTGAGTGGCTATTAGAAAAGCAGCCACTGCTTTGCCCCAAGGGAGCTGTGTACTGGAATGGCAGATTGCAAAAAACAGTTTGCTCTGTGGTGCCTGTTGTACCCATGCAACACAGTCAATTTACACTGACCAGTGCTCATTTGAGCCACTCAGTGCTATAAATACAGGCATTTTATGATGATGTTGTGCAATGTTTGGGCCAAAATGTAAAATAAAAATGAACTGAAGTAGAAGAAGGAAGACTAAATACACAGTTTCCAGCTGACCTTATTTCCTTGTTCAAGCTTTTTACCTCTGAGGCAACTTTATGCAATGCAGAATATCACATGCAAGGGGAAAAGCCATGAGTCTGCTACCATCTTCCAGTGGGACCATTGCCTTTAAAGAAAATCAGTTGATTTAGGATGGGGAAAAAAAGATGGTTTCTAGCTATGATGCAGCAAGGAAAAAATATCAACCAGATCAGTAGTGCTGAAAGTCCAGTGAGAAAGCACTCAGGAACATGTACAGACAAAAGGGCTGCTTTGTACAATTAAATCCAGACAGGACTATCTTTTCATAGAGTTAGAGTCAAGTTTACTAACATATCAAAGCTAAAATGGTTTGCTCTAAATGTGTGATAAGCTCATGATGCTGCTGTATGCAGGACACTGAACACACAATATGCCATTTTACAAGCTGCGAGTTTTCCCTGACACTATTATCACAGACAAATGTTCCTTCATTTGAAAAAAATAGAAGAAAAAATATTCTATTAATTTAGAGTTTGGCCCAAATCTTGTTAAAGCTAATTTGAAAAATCCCTTTGACATCATTAGCTATTGGAACAGTTCTACTCAGAGAAGTGTTTTAACCAGTATCTGGCACAGGGTAATGTGATTCATAACTCTGGTCTCAATTTTTCTAATGCAGGATTAGACCTGTCTGTCAGTTTAAACCTATGAGGTAGCACTGGAGTCAGGGATGTTGCAGTAGGTGAAAACCAGGCACACAGGATTCAAGGTGGAGTCACAGATTCATATGAGGATCAGAACCACAGGGTGAATTAACAGGCAGAGCAGTGGTTTGGCTCTTTAATCAGGCACAGAGGGACATTGGAGCATTAACAGGCTGACAGGGAACTTGGAGCAGGAGCTGAGCAAATTCATTACTATGGATGACTAGTTGTTTCCTTGACCACATTTTTGTCTTTAGGGTGTTGACAGTTCTCTTTAGTGTCTGTGGGAACGGCCAGTAATGTCAGCCTGTCCTGGTACATAATTGTCTGTATTACTTTATTCAATACAAACTCTATAATCCATATCAATTAAATCAAAATTCTCCATCAAAGTGGAAGTTTGTGTTGTTCACATAACTGAGAATGTATATCTGTTTTTCAGGGTTTCTTCTGAAATGCAGAGAAAGTCATTTCTAGAATTTGGATTCTCTATCTGATACATCATCCCCTTATACTGTTAGGAAAAACACCCCTCAGATTAAAGCAAGGTTTGAGTATCTGCCTTTTGTATCAGGTATGGAGAGAACACAACACACTGTATTCCTGAAGGAATGATGAGCAGTCATTCCAATTCTCTTCCTAATTCTATTCCCACCTTGGGAAATTAAGTTATGTAACAGCAGTAATAAGAAACGATACAGCAATGCATTTCCCCTCCAAAGTTCTGGGTGAATTTCATTGAATTTCATTCAACTGAACTCCTCTGAGTGAAACTTTCACAAAAAAACTCCAACAGGTTTAAAAAAGCTATTAGAGAAGACTCAGGATAATGTATATTAAAACTTCCAAAAGGCTTCTCAGTTATGCTGTTAAACTGGCTTCACTGAAGAACTGACAGACTTAAGTATCTAAGAGTTGAATTAAGCCCAGAGGTTTAAAATCATATATTTTGGCTTTCTGATCAGTAGCTTAGCCAGGGGCCCAGTGGAGAACCTGAGCATGTGCTTCATCTAAAGCACGTAGAACCCAAACCAGTACTGCTTGTTGCTTTGCCTTTATCTAAACACATTCAAGGGCTGTGTGGGAAAGATTGTATATTTGATCATCTGCAGGATACCTGCTTTATGGATAAACAGAGGAACTCCAGAGCTGCCAGTTTATGCCTCGACATAAAGAATCCATGCTGTGCCATTTTCTTCTAAAGGATGAGAGCGTGAGCTGTTTGTTGTGCCATGGCAAAATCCAGTAGTCCAAATTCTCCTCTCAAGTGAATACCAGGAGATTCAGAAGTAACTTTGGAGAGATAATGCTGTTACAGATTTAAGGGCTGAATGAAAATGGCATGTGATACATGAACTCAGTAGGGTCCTATGAAAGATGCATTTGTCATCTCTCTGGCCTGACCTACCCTAAGCATTCAGATTTTTGAGACTCCTTACTTTGTTGCAAACTAAACAGAGGATTGCCTGTGCAAGGAGTGGAGGGTCTTAGAGACTCCTCCATTTCACAGGAAGAAAGGCCCTAATCCTGGGGAAAGTGTACCATTAGCACACATTTTCATAACAAGATGGACCTCACTAGTTCTACCCATTCATGGCTTCCCACACAGGATATCACAGATGTTTGTGAGCACTGGATGTGCTCAGGGAACACTTCCTGAGCCCTCAGGACCAGACAAATCAAAGAATGGCCCATGGCAATGGGAGTGTGTCACCAAGGTTTTAGGATTAGTGGTTGTAGAACGTATTCTTCTGGGCTGGCACTTTGCAAACACAGCTTTTGTCACCTCCTGTTACACTCTGCAAGCAACCAGTTTGAGTGTGTCTGCTGACACCTGCTCCCCCTGAGACCAAGGGGAGCTTCTGTGATACTCGTAGTGCAGAAGACACCATCATGTCTGTGTTTGGCCGCCAAACACACTTCCAGAGATGCCTCAGACTGTTCTCACTGAGTGCTTCTTTCCTGCTCAGACATCTGGAAGATGAACATATTTTTAGAATAGTTCTGTCTTACAGACAGGTTTGGTTTTGAGCTACCTGAAAGATCAGTCACAGTGGAAATACTGAACTTTTAGAAAAGCCTGGAGCTGTTTTAAATGCACGGATGTGATTATTTTTTTTTTAAACTGGCATTACACTTTTAATTTTTTGTGGCAAAGCTGAAAATCAATGCTTAACAGAAACTTGGAACAGGAGGAGATTGTCAGTTGGTGCCTGAATCACCTCTCATCTTTTTCAGGCACCCTCTCTTTATTAGCTTCAATATGCTTTGGATTAGACCTCAGATGCAGACAAGTATATTCATTGCACACCCTTTAATATTTTCACATTAGTATCAATGCTGTGGCAGGCTGCTCTTAAGAGATACAGTATTGCCTGATAAAATAAAATGGCACTGATGATCATGTAAATAAAAGAAAAATCAGCCTCTTTTATTCTGTGTAAGGATTTGACATGAAATATGAACCATAAGGTCTAACTGCTAAGTTCATCTCTCAGCACAGGCCTTACTCAGGTCACTGGACATCTTAGCTTCAGAAAGTCAGTTTGCTCAGATGTTAAAACCAGCAGGAAAGTAAGATCAGATGGTTTAAGGAGCAGTAAACATTTCTCAGCCTGACTATGTATGATTCACCACAAGTCAACTACTATCACAGCACCAACTGCAGGTTTCTGAGTCCAATATTTAGAAGGGTCCCATGTTGGCCGCACAGTATTTACTCAAACATAAGGTGACTCAGGACCCAAGCACCCATCTTGTGTTTGCATGAGTACGTTTGTTAAAATACATACAAATTTGGGGGGTAAGACCTCCCTGGGTACAAAGAACATAGCAAGAGCCCAATAAAAAGCTGTTGTACATCCAATGCTTAGCAGACCTGCCTCCCAGAAAAGGTAAGATAATTAAAGGTGGTTTCCTTACTCTGAATAGGCAAATCTAAGATAACCCTGGACCCTAGGTTTCTAAAGGCTGCAAAAATAAAAGCTGGCTGGGGTTCAAGTAAAGGCAATATGAGCTTGAAGGGAGAGCAGCAGTGGATACCTGATAGACAGCTGGGTGCAGCAGAGTATGGGGAGAGGCAAAGGAGGCCTTTTCTCTCCATCTGGCAACTCACATAGGAATTTTTTAAAAGAGGGAGTGCAGAGAGAGGCAGACAAGAGCACAAGAGGCATCTCACATCCCTCTTGAACCCAGCAGGATCCTCTTAAAGCACAGCAGAGAAGCACCAGGTGCAGCAGCCAACCAGCCCTCGAGTATGGCAGAGAGTCAGGCTTGGGCCTGAGCCAATGTGAGCCCTGTGCTGCCCACCTGCCTGGGAGCACCCTGCAAGTGCAGACTGGGCAGCTGACAGCCAGAGACACTTCCCTACTCCCAGAAAAAGAGATGAACGATGACAGTGAGCAGGCCAGCTGGGAGGAAGGATAATATGAAGTTCTTTATTTGCCTCAAGGAGGGAGAGGGTGATTTGAAAAGCAAAAGGGGCTGTTAGAACTTTAGGTTTTTGTTCCTTGTGTTCCCACGCAACTGTGGGCATCTCCCCTGCCCTCTGCAAAATCAACACCACCAACTTTATCTGTTTCATAGGAGCATGGATAGCTTTATGTTCATAGAAGCAGGTAAATTACTTCTGCACATGTCCAGGTAACTCTGCAACCAAGCTGTCAGGCCACAGAGGACTTACTTCATCTCTTATTGATATGCAACAATCAGGAGATCATTCAGACCATCAATTATTCACAGATGTTATCACTGCTCCAAGCAGAATGGAGCTGGTTTCCCCTTTGTAATTAGAAAGGAGCTAATGTGATCTGTGATATAGCTTAGTATCACAGCACCAGAAACCTGAGACACCTGATCACATCCCAGAGTGATGATAATGCATGCAAAAATTGTACTTGAGAAAGGTGCCCTGCTGCTGGTTTAGGCAGGGGAGAGTTCTGAATGGCTCAGCTTTGTTCAGTATCCAGCAAGGGCAGTGATAAGATTCCCACTAAGCTGTGGGAGGAGGGGCAGGTTCAGTGTGTAGGTGTTTTAGAAATCCTACTTTCAAGCTCAATTCAAAGTCCATTAATGCTAAAGGTGTCTGTTGACTGAATTAAAACTTGGCTCAAACCCATATCTATTAGATCACTGAGCCAAAAAATATGGCTTAATCCTATTAAATATTAGCCTGCTTTAAACTGGATTACCTAAGTAGGTAAAGCTTCCTGACTTCTGTCAGCAACAAAGGCTGTGTACAAACCACTATGCCTCTTTCCCAAACTCATTTGTGTCATATCTGTTTCCCTTGGGAATTTCTCCTGTAAGATTAACATATACCTCCAATATCAACACCCCCTTCTTCCCTTCTTCAGTGAACTTGTAGATGAATTCTCTCTTTTTAGAAATTACTCTTGTGTAAAGTGATTATTTTAATCTTAAGGTCCATGGTTCTGTGCTTTTTGGAAAAGTTCAGTATCCCAGTGAATCCAGAAGGATCAATGGTACAGTCAAGAGTATCTGATTCTTTACACAGTGTCCAGGCACAGAAGGTGTTCAGATGGTACCACCAGCCCCTTGCAACCTTGTCATTCCTTTCACTGTTTTTCTTTTGTCTTCCTAAGTCCCATACTTAGGGCTGAATGTTCCCTCACTGATCTCTCTTTCTCTCTCTCTCTTTCTTCTCCCCTTCTCTCTCCTTACCTTGCTACCACTATTGGGATGTAGAGTAAAGATGCTGGTATCAGGACTTTGGTTATGTTGGATGAGCAAGGAGGTAAGTTCAGATTGCTTCAGTAAGGAAGTATAACCCTTCTCAAAATACTGTACTAACTGTGTGCAACTCTGGAAATGAGGGCCAGAAAATATGTGTGGTTGTGCATTAGAATCCCAAAACCTCTTTGCCTTTAGCTTCGTTGTCTGATAAGAGAAAACTACAAGTGCATAAGAAGAGTCTGTACATCTTTTGATCTATTTCCCATTAATGTCAAAGAGAGCTGCAGCTGAACTCATGCAAATCATCATTTTATTTCAGCAGCTTTGGGTCAAGATCCAGCTACATGATGAGAAGATTTGCCTCCATAAGTGTAAAATCCAGCATTATTTATGCAGGTGCTACATAATTTTCTCACTTGTTTAAGTTACAAGTGCAAGACGTAATAAATGCATCCCAAGAGAAGGTAAAATAGGTTTTATTTGTGTAAAATTCAGTTGCTTTTTGTATAGAAATGGCAGTGAAGATGACAGAAATTTAGCATTTAAAGCTATGACATGATCAGCTCATTACAACTGACCACATAGGAGGTTTCAAGCTTAGATGAGTCCCTGTCTGTGGATGACAATGACGAAGACAGAACTAGATGTATTCAATACGTTCCAGGAAATTACATTTTTGCCCTTCATAATATGACAAAGAAGTAGGTAGCTTCTTCCCCCTCGACAAAACTAATAAGTCTTCATTTGCTGTAGACCCACAGTACCAGCAAAATGGTGTCTCCAATAAATCAACAGAGTATAAATTTCTACTGCTCTCTGTCCAACCAGACCCCCAAAGGCCCTTGTTATTATTTAGTATGTGGCATGACACAAAACTGTATTAGGAGATGTTTTCTAGAGAGGTAACGCTGTATTACTCATCAAGCCCAGAAAATGATTATAAGCAATGGTACAACATTTTTGGGAAATGGACTACAGTACCTGACAGGCTCTTTTCAGCTGCAGTGTCCCTGCCCCTCAGATGCTAAAATGAATGAAAAGTAATAACAGAAACTAAATGGAAAGTATTTTCATCTATTCGCTTTTTTATGTATGTCTCATTGCTTCTCCCCCATCTCCCCCTTTAGGGAAAAGAATATAACCTAACCAAATTTTGTCACATCGATTTGTCTTGGCAAGAAAAATATTACAGAGAATATTTTGTTGTCTTCAAAAAATAATGGCAGTAAAAGAACTATCACTGAATACATAAACCCAGAAATTACTTATGCTGAAACAGATATGGCACCTGTCTAAATAATGTGTTTTGTTTCAGAATTGAATTAAAGAGTTGTAATAAATCACAAATATTGTCAAAGAAAGTCTGTAAATACCCAGGTGTGTCTTGCAATGTAATTCACAGGCAGAGCAGCAGAAACTTCAGTGGTTCCTATAACTTCCCTTGTGTCTAGTCTTGGGAAAATATGTTTCTGTTCTTTAACTGTTGTTTTTCCACAGATTGCTAGGGGGTGTTATTTTGGTTTTAACCCTGAATTTTGTTTTCTATTTTGGAGTCCTACTATTGCTAAACTCCTGTATGCAAAAGTTGTCTGACTGATTCACTCTCTAGTCATGCTAGGAAAGACAATGTGGATGAGCCAAGGAGCTGAGACTAGATCCGCTCACCTCTTTGGAGTCCAGGGAACTCAGAACTAAACTCTTATTGACAGTGAAACCTGAAATGTGTATTGTAGAGTCAGAGATGCAGTGAGTCAATACCTACAGGAAAGAATCAGACAGTTTCAAAGCCTCTTTAAATTGGTTATGGTCATGCCTTAAGTGGTTCAGTAAATTTAGCTTATGACTATACAGTGTGGGTTTCTCAAGAAAAACAGCCAAATAATGCTACAAACCCTGAGAATATTGTAATCACTGTACTGTGTTAAATGTTTAATTAAATTTTCTCCATTTTAGCAATATGTAGGTGTAATAATTCCTGATTGTATTTTTTTATTAAATTTTAGTGCTAAAGGACTTATACTACTGGGCAAAACATGCTAATGATGACTTTGAACCCTCTGTAATTAGTGCAATGTGTGCAGCTCACGGATGTCTCAGCAGATTATCAGATTAAGGAAATAATTTGCTAACACTGCCATGTGATCTCTTTTCAGCTGACTGCACAAGTCACTTAAGATTATTAGGTGTTAAATATACAGAAAACATGACATTGATCTTTCCAGTGGGCGGCAAGCAGAATATCTGATCTCTGTAGTTGCTTGAAGCTCTGTTTTTAGGTTTCCTTACAAAATTGCTTATTTTCAAGTAAAACAGACCTTACAAGGGAAACTTCTTAGAGCCAATCTCAATCTAAATAATCCAAAGCAGAGCTGATTTTCTGGTATCAGTAAGCAGAAGTCTCTGGGATCATAAAAGGCAACAAGTCAAGGTAATTTCACAATACCAGGTATTTATCCAACAAAGCCAGTCTGGCTTGCTCCTGTTGCCTAAAGGTTTAGCACAACCAGCTGCACAGCAGATTACAGCCTGTCATGACCCTCAGAAATGTGGAGCTTCACAAGAGCTACCATTACTTCTGCTTCACAGAGAATGGGACCCCCATAAAAACTAGAGCCCTCTTTCAGTGCCCTCTGAAGTCACTGGGAATCTGAGTAGCACCTCTGTAATATCAAGAGCTATCATTTTTTTGAGCCAGGTATTGTCACCCAAACCAGCTCAACACAGTTCTTCCCCTGGGGAGCCCAGAGGAAGGAGATAAGAGGTTAGATTCTCCTTGTTGACACTTTTTCCATCAGTGAGAAAGTACTTCCCAGACCCTGTGTACATCCATAATGCTTACATTTTGTTAAACCTGGCCTTGAGTTAAGCAGTGGCAATTACTCTGCTTCATGAAGTATGTCTTTAAAACATACTAACTTGGAAAAATGTAAATATTTGGGGGCATGTTGGTTAAAAGCAGATTATAGAAATGAAACTGCTAGTACAAGTGTGGATATGAAGATAAACCTGAATTCTTAGCATAGAGAGGGTCCCAGAGCTCTCTTCATCCAAAGGAAACTGCCATCACCTGGGGGTATCAGCAGGGAGAGAGATTTGGAACTTCAAGGACAATTTTGTGTGTGTGATGATGTCCTCATGCAGTTTATTACAAAATAATTTTGTCTTTGTATTCCAAATGAGATGGAGGGGAGAAACTCATCCAATAACAACAGTGGCAGCTCAGCCATTTTTCATCCAAGACAAGATAGAGGAATCACCACAACTTTGATAAGCCACAAAGAAAATGTCAGTGCAATTGATATTTTCTCCCTGTACCACAGCAACAGCCAATGCACAGCCAGTGAATGTGAGGAGCAGCCTAATCTGCCCAACAGATCAAAGTCCAGATCAAGTTGATAAAGGAGATAAAACTTTGGAATAACTGGGCAGTCCCACAAGCAGAAACACTAGCACTATGTGATGGTACTCATGCTACCTGACCTCTACTCTTTTGGCTTGAATTGTGAGTTTGACAGCTTTGTATGAGTACGTAGTGAATTAGTGAAATAAAAGGCAACTAAAAACTATTCCAGATTTTACAGGGGAAATGGTATTAATTATGTTGAAATTGTAGAGCAGAACAAAAGACAAACGAACCCCCACAAAGCAGGTTGTGCCTTGTTTCCTCTTATTTTTAGCACAGCTACACGTGGGCTCACAACGCTCCCTACCAGCTTTCTTCCATTTGTACCTATGCTCAGCAGTGCCTTTCAGAGCAGAGCTAGGTCAGGACTCAGGATTTCTGAAAAGGCTGTCCTAGAAATGTACTATGCTCTGATATGATTCTCCTTTATGGAAAATGGGATCACTAAGTAGCACTGGAAATAGTTAATCTGCTGACTCCCTTTCAAATTCAACCCTCTTGTATGCAATTATGATTACAATGTGTTCTTAAGATGTCCTTTTTCTTTTTCCTTTTTTTTCTCTAATTAAAATCGTCCTTGTGGAAATTCCTTCATACACAATACTCCAGGCAAAGGAGCAAATTCCCATCTCCACAAGCATTTAGCTGACATTCAAGCACAGACTTCAGATCCTGGATGTTAGTCAAGGAACACTTGTTAAAAATTACAAATGGGGACGCAAAGGTGGAACAACACCACACTTGCCCTATGCTGGTCCTGTGTCCAGCATTGTGTAAGATGCTTGTGCAGCTGTGTTTGCTCAAGAGACCACAGGAGCACCTGGGGGATGCTCTTGCTACAGCTTCCCTCTCCCAGCCTCTTCCACAGATCAGTCATGGAATGGGGAACTGCCAGGATGTTACAGAAGGTCCTGGCAAAGACCCACTAACAAAAGGCCACAATGCTATGGTCAAACTACCAGGACTAGGTTATGGTTCCTCAGTGGCCTTACAGAAGCAATTCATGAGTATAATGATACAGGCAAAAAAACATCCTTGTTGGTGTCCTGAGATATGCTATTGGTTTGCTCAAAGATCTGGAAGAAGATTTATGGTCACTACCTTGGAATGAAAGTGACATTCTCAGGCATTAAAAGGTATCAATATGCAAAAAGGGCTAATAATTAGCAGACTTTCCCAGAGGAAAAATCATTAAGGAAATCACAATGAAAGGTATCTGATATGTATTCTGCTGCCAGACAGCACCAATTTTCTTGTATATTATACATAAACATACATAGATGTAGTATATTCAAAAAATACTGCAACAAACCGTGAAAAGATGTTCAGACAGATCTTGAAGGGCTTCTCTAAATGGGAGGGAGACAAAGGACATGATCTTCTGTAGGCATGAATTTGTGTCAGTTCATGGCAGTTGACATGATCTAGGCATGAATTTGTGTCAGTTCATGGTATGTATGACACAATGGTCAGTATGCCAGCAGACTATCTTCCCTAAAACCTTTAATACAATAAAGAATGTTGGAACAGGGAAGATCTATGAAAACAGACATTAAATTAACCTTTTGATAGCCATCTGATTTCCTACTGGTAGTGATTCATTTTGGGCCAGATTTTAATAGCAGTAGGCATGAATTTGTGTCAGTTCATGGTATGTATGACACAATGGTCAGTATGCCAGCAGACTATCTTCCCTAAAACCTTTAATACAATAAAGAATGTTGGAACAGGGAAGATCTATGAAAACAGACATTAAATTAACCTTTTGATAGCCATCTGATTTCCTACTGGTAGTGATTCATTTTGGGCCAGATTTTAATAGCAGTTATACCCAAACAAATCCAGTGTGACCCCATTAAGTTAATTCCTCTATAATATTTATGCCTCAATAATTGTGGTTAGACTTATGAATCTATTTCCTTGCCTGTGGGACCAGATCTGTGACAGGTATAAATTGGTGTTGCTCCATGAAGCCAGCATAACTGTGCCAATTTAAACCAGTTAACAATCAAGCCCATGACATTAACAACTAGCAAATGGGTTTAGGACCAGCAGCCAGCTGTCTAGACTTCTGGACTACAAATATGACATGAGGATTTTTACACTGATGAGTTTCCTTTAATGGAAGATAAATTAGTTGTGGCTCCTTTTTCTATTCAGAAATAGCACAGACATCACACATAAATCCTGAAGCAGGATAAAATAAGTCAGTTTTCTAGAGAGAGCTGTAATTTAAATGGAAGTCTTTGAGTCATGTCAAATCTACTTTTCAGTTAGCACTCATTTATTCAGGCAGAATAGGAAACAGGGGAAGAAAGTTCAAAAGGCCCTACTGCATACTTGGCTTCAGAGAATGTGCATCTGGGCAAGGAAACATGCTCAGACTGAAAGCCACCAGTGCTACCAGATCCAGGACTGATCCCTGCAGTCTTACATGGCATTTTCTACTGGACAGACAAAGTTAGAGAAGTACAAGCAGAAAAATCAGTAGAGGAGAGGTTCAGTACCTCTTGACCTCCCAGTGTCAAAAGCAAATGTGGATACAGCCTTCTTTCAGCTGAGTCCAGAAAACCAGGCAGGCTCTGCAGGCACAGCTCTTGCAAGCAGGAGGTGGGAGTCTGCAACAGAAATTTAGCAATTCCCATCATGCTGCATGAACTAGCATCACAGCCAGCTCACACCCCCACAGCTGCTTCCCAGAGCAAGAGCAAGTGTTGCCCAGCTACACAGGAGCAGGCAGGACCCCGAGATAGCAAGGAGCAGGAGCACTGAGAGGAAGGAGTGCCACCTTTTATCACAGACTCACATTTCTGATGAGACTGACAATCTGCCTCTGCAAGCATGACCCAAAGCTTCTGCTATAGCCTGAATTACAGTGTGCATTAAAACAATCCAACCTTGCATTTCTGGATTTTGGCTCAGCACTTTATCTGGCAGAACTTGTGCAGTCTCTCTCTCAGGTTTCCTTCTTAGTTTCCCAATCTTTTGCTTACATCATATATGCCCCTTTTGGAGGACAGAGCCAGGTAACTCTGATCCTCTAAATATATTTTTGGTTTCGGCATCAATAACTCAGCCCATCCAGCTGAGGTGAATAAGAACTGGCAGCTGAAAAGCAGATGCATCTTGCCATACTGACATGGCACCTCTCCTCAAAGCCCAGTCTCATGCAAGAATTAAACAAAGAGCACAAGTTCAATATTTGAATTATTTCAGCTTGAATAATTTTAGGCCAGGATTTTCTAGGACCTCGAGGGGTGAGGTGCCTGTTTTCCATTAAAATTAATTTCTTTTAATTAATTTTAATGGGAATTGGGTATCCAAATCCTCCAGAAAGCTTTGAAAATCTAAACCTCAAGTGTTATTAGAAACCCAAGTAAGAAATTAGGCCTATTCATGTTCCCAAAGAAGTCAAGAGGAGCTTTGTACTGACGTCAATATGCACATGATTTTTCTTCTAAAATTACATTTTTTTTCTTCTGGAAAGGATTCAGTTAACATTAGGGAATGTCATTAAATTCCTCCTATAACCAGTGCTCTTAGTTCCTTCCTCTATGGTCTAATTCTGTGGTTTTGTTTTTTTTCTATTCAATAAGGGGAATAAGGATGAATTTGTGTTTTACTGGGATTGCTTGACTTTGCCTCTTTAGGTACATTTGCAATTTTTAATAGATTGAAATGCCACTCCAAGTAACTTTCTGATCCTGGGTAGTATTTGAGTTTATCCTTCATGAACAAATGGTGAGACTTTCCACCCATGCTGTTGCTACTGCAGACTCCACATAAGACCTCTGGTCCCACTGGATCCATATCTGTTTACATCAGCAGAGAATCCATTTCTACACTTTCAAATTGTGGCATTCTGCTCCTCTAGGGCATTTTTTCCCAGCTTTAATAGTGAAAATTAACACATTAAATTATTCTGAGCCACCAAGTCACTAAGAAAACCGAACACCATCATCAGCCTTAGGTAGAAATACGCCAAATTCTGTTTGATGCCGGCAGAGACACAATGTCTATATATATCTGGTTTCTGAGCTTGGTGCTTCTTAACTTTCCCTGGAGCAAAGCAGGAAGCATGAGTCTTTACCCAATGCCTATTTCCATAAGATCCCCTGGTGACAGAGACAAGGAAAGTCATAGCCAGCTGTCCTCTCGCAGTGAGCATCAGGCTTCTGAAGTGGATGCAATTGCTCTGTGTTCACTGGGGTTACTCCTGGTTTGCAGCATCCATGCCAGAAAGAAAACCAGCCCTGAGGCCATGCTCAGATAAGAGATCCAATGCCAATGAAGGTGGCAGGTCTCAGTTTCCTCAGCGTCTGGAGAAAGGGGTACATGGATACGAGCCCTTAACAGCTCGCTCCATTTCTGGTTACTATTACTACCAGCTCTCTCATTCACTAATCAAAGCAATTATGCTGCCCTAAATCACCTATTTCCAAGGCATTTGTAAGCGTAAGTAACTGAAGTATTTTCCATGGTAGGACATCTTTTCTCTTATATTAACATACCTAAATGCAAAATATTAACACTATCTTTCTTTCTCCTGGATGTCACTGTGTCTTAGTAAGTGGATGTATTGCATTATGTTTCTGGACTTTGAACTTTATAACCCTTCCTTTCTACATCATTACATCTTGTTTTTATTAATATATTTCAAATAAATTCCTCCTTTGTTTTACTCTTCCCATATTAGTAAAAAACTCTTCAGCATCCAGTGCGGCTTCCATCCTTTCAGCAATGCATCAGCTCAGATTAATGCATTGGAATGTCATTATTAATTCAGTTCTACATGGTCATTTTTCATGTTCTGTTGAAGACAAAAGCAAACAAACAAAAATACAATTCATTCCACACTGTCATCCCTTTGTCCTGACCAGAACAACTCGATCGTGTTGAAGAAGGCATGAACCATATCAACCAAGACATGAAGGAGGCCGAGAAAAATTTAAAAGATTTAGGGAAATGCTGTGGCCTTTTCATATGTCCTTGTAACAAGTAGGTACTGGGTACCGGCTCTGCTGTGTGGTGTCCAGTTTTTTTGTCACAGTGAATGTCTGAAGTTTTTGTCTTTTTTTTCTTTGTCCTTTTCCATCTGCTTCATTCTGTGGGGATAAAATACTTGTGTTTAATCAGAACAACTGGAACGCATCGAAGAGGGAATGGACCAAATCAATAAGGACATGAAAGAAGCAGAAAAGAATTTGACGGACCTAGGAAAATTCTGTGGTCTTTGTGTCTGTCCATGTAACAAGTAGGTGCTGCCTGCCTCATCTCTTTGAGCACTTAAGGCTGATCCCAAAGGCCTTGTGAAGCTCATCCTTGCTAGGCATATGGACAGGATGAGCATGTGGCATGCAGAAAGAACGATTCTGGTTCAAATGCATTCATCTCATAGCATAGAAAACTGACTGGGAATTACTGTAGATGCATTAAAATCAGGCATACTGCAGTGAAAGCTTCACTGTTAACACCTTTTAATGGTAAAAGTTTCAACATTTTACACAAAGTGTACTGAGTGGTTCCATTTTCCAGCGACCAAAAGCACTGGGGCTACCTTATTCCTGGATACCCTAAAATCTGAAACATATTTTCACCAACAAGTTTAATAAACAAAACAGTTGAAAAACTGCAGAAGAGGCCATGCTAAACATTACTTAAAATTATGGATGAAAATCACATCTTTTTTTTTATTCAATAGAACTAGTCCTTGACGAGATCTTGAAAGAGACATGATGTTTCATAATTGGAACCCAACCTGAAATGGTTTTCATCCTGCCATGGGCAACAAATTTGAGTAAACTGAACATGCCAAATTTCTCTGGTTTGGGTAGCAAGTACACTAATCAGAAATGTTGAAATGCATCTAATTTGCTTGCATGCCATCACACTTGAACGAAACCGTCCTCCAAGTGATGCAAAGCTTGTTTTAAATGCCAAATGAAAATGTGATATGCAGTTGTGCGGGGGTAGGAAGTTGGGGACAAAGTGGACCAACCAGAAGTCCTTGAGGAATGGCAAATCCAGCATTCAACCAGCTTACAGTGAAAACATTCATAAATGGTTGGCCAGAGATTGTGCAGGAAACAAAGCAGAGAGCAGTAGCTCTCAGTATTAAACTCCCTTTCTACAGGATAATTTGTTTGCAGCCAAAGTCTGATCCTACAGTGATTTTCAAGACCAAAGGAAAGAGCTGTCAGAGAGTTCCGTGGGTATTTTCCCAAAAATCAGAACAACAGGACTGGGGTTTCGCCTTATCAGTTACATTTATTTTGAAGTTAATTCCCTTGGGACACAATGCAGATACTACCTCAGCTTTAAAAAAATCAATTTTGCTCCCATGTACCAAGTCCTGAATACTTTGCTGGGGTCAACATTTTGCCCAGAATATGTGTACTATTGCCTTGGTGTGCACAATGGGAGAGAGGGAAGGAGGAATGGGAAGACACACACATACACACACACAGCCTTTGCCTGCAATCTGTATGAGCTCTGATACAGGCTTTAGCCCTGCTGTCCTGCATGAGAGGACCCCGTGAAGAAGAGCAGCAGGTACAAATGCAGCAGAAACTTTGTATCTGCCAGGTTGTAAAAGCTGTGAAAGCTCAGAACTGACAGCCAGACATGTGACATGGATGGGATTAGCACCTGGCACATGGGCTTAGAACATTCGCCACTTCCCTATGATTGCGGTGTCACGCTGCAAGAGCACTGTGTGCACTCAGTGTGGGAGACATGCATTTGTAAAGGTGTCTCTTCCCTTCTCTCAGGCAGTATTCTGACCTTGGCAGTCTGCAGCCAGATTTCATAAAGCAGCATTGCTAATCAGTGTTCACAAAAACTGTGGATGAACAATGCTTTTAGACACTGTTCCTTGAATCACTCTGCCAGGACTCAACTGGTAGGAATAAGATGATGTTCTGAGGAGTGAGTGTAGGAGAGAAATCCATATGGTTCTGGGCATCAGAATCACCATGATCCCCTAATGCTCTTCTGGCTGGTGGGCGATTAATGGCATATATTTTAAAAATATTAACCATTTCATGCATAATTATACAGTGAAAGTACAACTCCGTGAGCCTTTCCAATACATAAGGCTTGATCCTACATTCTAGAAGACCCCAAATGCCCATGGCATGAAACTTTGACCAGGCTGCATTCAAAAGGACAACTGCTATTGACCATGAGCAGACCCAGACTCCACCTATTGACTTTAATCCAAAGTACACAAGAAAACAGAGATCAGATTCTGGGTGTATAAAATCATTTATCTCAAACATAGAGACTGTCTCTCTCTCAAAGTTGCACAGGTCTAAAGAAAAGGCAAAAACCTGTAAATGTATCTGCAGCAAGAGAATTACTTTCACGCATTTCTAGAAATGCCAAAGCTGATGTATAGTTTCAGAACTAAGATCAAACAAGCCAACCATCATCTTTTTAATTCTTCACAAACTTCAATAGGAAATAAGCAATAAAACAGATGAGTAGGAAAGATCGACTTGTAATCCACATTTTAATTCTATATTGGAGTATGCAACACATCTTCAGGCTCATTTAAAACTGAGCTGCTTCAGGGGGCATGGAGAGAACATAACACCAGAGGTGGGTTTGTCATGTCCTTCCCAAAATCCCCCAGAAGCACCTTCAGTTCCTCACCCAAAATCCAAGCCACAGGGCTCTCTATATATGACCAATTGGAGCTGACCAAAGAACAGGAAAACCATGGAGACTTGCAGTTCCCAATGGCTTTGTTGGAAACTGCTCCATTTCCAGAATAAAATCAAGAACTTACACCTATGGACCCCAAACACTCAGACTCTTCTGTTAAAGTGTTCAATCCTGGCTGATGACCCAGATGACAGCAACCCTAAATATGCTGCACATGTCAGCCTGACACTGTAAGTGTGCCTGGATTTTAATTTTCTATCCATGGCAGCTCAGTCAAAAATGGCTCTCTGAAAGCTAATGTAACTGTCATAAAGAGCAAATATAACAAGTTGCTAGGCTATTGGTAAAGTCCTGTGGTTTAAAACTGCTGAAGGAAGTGATGATCCATTTTTGCCTGTGTCTTGCTTATTGTGAAGGCTGTTACTGCTGATGCATTAAGGGTATGATGAACTATTGGGGCAACTGTGCTTAGTGAGAATGCTTTACTTCTTATTCATGCCTGTAGCTGGTGCATGAAGGAAAATGTAGAAAAATTTCCCTTTCTGATGCTAGACTGCTCGTATCTTTTATTTTCTCCTGCACTCATTTCACTTCTGCCTATTTTACTTTTTGTCTCTGTGGACAAAGGTTTGTACATCAACTGTCGATGTATGATTACTATTTTCAAGTACCGATATATTATTTGAAAAATCTAACAAGCTGTATAATAAAATCATCCCTAAATCACCTTGGAAAAGGTCAGTGGCTTTACTTGCCGATTATGCCACATACATATTAAAAAAATATCAACAGAAACCCAATCTTCTGCATGGTAAAATGTTACAATATAGCCAAATCTGTTTTTCTCTAAGAGGGTGTGTTGCTGTGATGTGATGTACACACTATACTTGGCAGTACTGTCTTTATGTCTGTCTGCCAGTACGTTCTCTGTGTTTGATGTCAAAACATACGTGTCATTGAAATGAAACAATGTTTTCTACTTATCTGTATTTCTTCTCTTCTTCTCTTTTCTTTTTCTTTTTACTTTTTTTTTTCCCTTCTTTCTGGAAACTAAGTCAACATCCAAAAACTTGTGTGCAGTGTTGTAGACTTGACAATCGCAATTCACCCTATTGGAAATAAAACCTCTGACCATCACTGTTGTTGTGGCAGTAAAGTAAAAACCAAACCAAAACCAAACCCCTCCTTTTATTCAGGGCTATGATATATCGGTATGCAATCAATGACCCTCTATCTGAAAACTCATTTGCTTGATTCAGCTTTTAGCTTGGAGAGGTAAAGACTTTTGCATTTGTCCTAGTCCACTCGATGCTTTGTTACTCATCATCTTTTTTGCATAGGCTTAAATCAAGTGATGCTTACAAAAAAGCCTGGGGCAATAATCAGGATGGTGTTGTAGCCAGCCAGCCTGCACGTGTCGTAGATGAACGGGAGCAGATGGCCATCAGTGGTGGCTTTATCCGCAGGTGAGCCTTTTTATCCACTGTTTTCTCTCTATTCTCCTTGTCACTGATATATTTAGATTTCTTCCATATGGTCATGAGTTCTGCGATGCTCATTAACTCCTTCAGAGGTGCTGGGTAATGCAATGGAGCCAGTGTTTGCCACCAAGTGGTGGGTGCTTGGATTCAGGTTGAAAGTGATCAAGACAGGTACTAAAGGCTTATTGTGTCCAACGACTTCCCCGGGCCCTGTGGGTGCTCACCTCAGCTACTGCAAAGGATGGTTACATTGCTGGAAACCCTGGAATTAAGTGAGAACCAGAAGATGCTTGCAAATGCAGCCCTAAACCTTCCTCCCTAAGACTGCCCAGATAGAAATAATATCTATTTATATTCTTCACAGCAGTATTGTGAGGTTGCAGACTGTCATGGCCAGTCAGCACTGTCCTCTGCACTCCAGCTCCTTGTGTGAACACTTTTCCTGGGGGCATTATTTTGGATCTAATTAATGACAGTTGTCAAATGCCTCAGAAATGAAGTGTCAGATAAATACTAGTTTATTGCCATTATGTCTCAAGGCATCTAATGCCCCTTACGCATCCTTGCCAGAAGATGTTCCAAAGCATCCAGCAGCCCTTCCTTTCTTTTCAACAAGAAAAATCCTCAGGCTTCCTGCCAAAGCACCGAGCCAAGTACAGAACTTGAAGTACACTTTTAACTGGAGGTATGCCCCTTCCCTGCTCATGACTATCCAGAAAATCTCGGTGAACAGGGAATGATGCCTCATTCCTCAGCTGCTGTAAAGCCACAATGATGGAGAAACATAGTAGAAAGCCAGTTTGAAACACACAGCTCTGCTAGTGGCAACCAGACTGCAGATGTCCCTTGATACATAGGGATCCAGCAATAAGCACCTACTGATTACAGTGCTTCTAGAGCACGTATTTAGATGACAATGCTATCAGTGAATAGATAACAGCATACCAGTAGGCAAAGCTTTGATCTCTGAAGATTAAGGACACTGGATTAATAAGTAATTATCTTTCAAAAAAACTATTATCCACTTTTTTTTTTGGATGCTTTGATAAAGGGAAATCAGTGTGACAGAAACAACGCTGTCATGCAGTCTGGAGCGTGGGATGGAGTTGCCATTTAAGTTTGCTGGGTCTGCCATTCACTTTTTTTAATTTCTGGATGCCAGGCCCATCAAAATGAAGGCTCAGGAATGCTAACAGAATAGCAGCAAAGGAAGTTATGCGACACCATAATTGTTTTGCAGATGGCCTGGAGCACCCTTTTGACACCTACATGAAAACAAATTGCATAAAAGGCTCAAAGTAGGGATTTTCTGAGTGGGACCCATGGACCTTGCTTTTCCCAGCGTCAGTCACCACATGCCTCTTTAGTCACTGGAGAGTTGAACTGGGCCTTGACTCAGGGACAAGCTCAGTCTTCCAAAAAGCAAGCAGCTGCAAAAGACAGTGCTAAGAATGAGAGATGAAGGATCTTTACTAAAAGCCAGTAAATCTGAGAGAAGCTGCTTCTGTCATTTACCAGAAATACATTTAATTAAATAGGATATTAGGTCACGATTTTCACATCTTAAGCAGTTCTTCCCCAGTAAATCTGTGAGCCCCAAGTGTACAAGGACTGGACCGTATCCCCTTAGCTATGTGAACTTCAGTGAGGGGACCCGGTATAGCTGTAATTCCACCACCCTCCAGAATTTCCCATGAAGTCTAACCACACTCAGACCCAAATGGAGCATCCTTCCATTCTCTGTTTGAGAAGGATGATCACTAGCAGAGAGGTGCAGTGTGTGGTACAGACAAGCTCAGACAGCAACACTTGTAGTAACAGCAGACATGAGCAGTATAGATGGAGCACCCAGAAAATACGCATGCAGTGTTTTTCAGGCAACCTACTTATTAATCTCTTTTCTTCCAAGCTGAGCACAGCAGCCTGCTCCTCAAGTGACAAGTGAAGGAGGATGCAGAGGAGGTTTCAGGTGTATCACAGTTTCAGAGGGAATCTCCTCTGTCTCTCCTTTAAAGAACTGGTCTTTTGCTCCCAGGGTAACAAACGATGCCCGGGAAAATGAAATGGATGAGAACCTTGAGCAGGTCAGCGGCATCATTGGCAACTTACGTCACATGGCCTTGGACATGGGCAATGAGATCGACACACAGAACCGCCAGATTGACAGGATCATGGAGAAGGTAAGAGCTGACATTTTTAAGAGGACCCAAAAAGGGGCTATGTTTTCCCTTCTGTGAGCATGGGCTATGCATGCGGCAGTTTCTCTTCAGATTGGAGGACAAGGGACAGATATAGCTGTGGTAGAGCTTCTCTCTTCTCCCTCCAAATCCTTGGGCCAAAGCAGAGCTGCAACACAGCCCCACACTGTAGACTTTGCCAGGCAACAACTATCAAGGGGATGCCTTAGGACACATCAAGGCTTCTTCTGCAACAGCTCTGGGAAAGGAGAAGTGCCCAGAGCTATGCAGAACTGTGGAGCTTGTGTCTGAACGCCCTGGCACTTCCTGGAAAGTTTTAAACCTTCCTGGACTTTTCCTTCCTTGGAAATTCCAGGATTAGATCACCTGCTTAGAGAACCAATCCCCAAAAGAGAATGACAATTTATTAAACAAGGCTTTGTTATATGGTAAGAGTGCTGCTAGTCTTGTGCTTATAACAACATTAGGACAGAGATCCACCTGCTTTCTGGGTGTGTGTATGTGTGTACATAAAAGCATTTATATATAGTTGGGCCCCACATTACCCTGTCAAATACAAAAGCTCAGCATTAATACTGCAAAATCACCACCTAAAAAAGCAAAGTGCACTATTCCGGTGCCAGACCTACACTGCAGATTTCTGAAGCAGAGATCAGCGCCCTCCTAACCCAGCTGGGAGCTCACTGCCATCCTCAGATCCCAAGATCTGCAAGCCATCTGCATTCGTACTGGCAGAGCTCCAGGCTGAGGCACAGCCAGGCTGAAGTGACATAAGAGGCTAGATCTTCATCTGGTGTAAAATCAACACAATGCCTGACTTCCGCTGAGATTTACACAACCTGAGGATCTAACCCAAGGACTTATATGTGGTGCTTAGAGTTAATTCTGACCTCAAGTGGTAGAGCTTGTACTCTTGAGCCTTCTTACACATGCAAACCTCCCCACATGAGCAGGAAGTCCAGGCCTCTTTTTCATGTCAGTTAACTACATCAGACCTGAGTGAAAAAATTAAATACTGCACTGAGCCTTTTCCTTATTGGAGTTAGATTCCAGGAAGAACTGGGTGAAGTATGCATTGTCTTAAAGGTGGGAAGTTCATGCCTGACAGAGAGACAGTCACATGACACCATAGAGCACATGGCTTTGTGTAGGTCAAAAATTTTGTTTTATAAAGCTGCATGTGTTTGTTTGACTGTATGGGGAAATGCACAGTACTATTGGGATGCCATTCTGCACCATTTTGTATTTCTGGAAAAACTAGGAGCATGAGGGGAAGGATTTACTGCTGTTATTCATATGAAAAGCACTAGAAAGCAGCACATCTGTCTATACTGTGAGAAGGGACTGGGAGATTACACAGCCTTTGTAGTAACTACCTTTAAATAAGAAGCCTTGAAGATGTTGTTTTCTCAAAGCAAGTGTGAGGGCATGCACTATTATGTTACCACCTCCTCTGCTCATGTCATAACATACAGGCAGGAATGTGCCCTGTGGATGGAAATCAGCATTGTCCTACCTGTGCCTGCAGGTTACTAACACAAACTACAGCAAGCCTAACAAGTCAGTGTTCTCCTACCAGCTCAGGCTTGCAAACATCTGGATTTTGAAAACATTGGCCAAGCCCTTTGTGCACATGAAGCACATGGGCCAAACCTCTAGGCAGTGCGTGCTGAGAGCAGTCAGCTGACTGCAGGGTCAGCTTTACACATCTGTGTGGTCTGATGGAGTTAGGCATTTCATACAGCAGTGGCAAACTAGCATTGCAAGCTAACAGGATTCATTAAATCCAGCCTCACAGACAGGGCTCTGCACCCAGAGCCCTTGGCTAAGGAACAGTGACACATTTCTGGAAGATGGATCTGCATTCTGCACAGAGGAGTCATCATGAAAGGGGCACAGAAAAAAGACAGTCTTCAGTCTTAGTGAAAATATGCCAAATTTCTCAAAGTAAGAACACACAGTCGTGAGATACTAGAAAAAGAAACACAAAATATTTGGAAAAAGCGCTATCAAAACCAGAAATGATGGTTAGCTGGATAATACTGAAACCACAAATGCACACACATCCATTTTGTAATTAAATATGCCAATAGATCGTCATCCCTAGCCAGCAGTGGGCATGCAGCATTGCTAGGGTTGTTTTCTCTTCCTGACTAGCTTGAGCACTGTGCTTTGGATCAGTTATGACTGTTAGAAAGACACTTGGCTGGCATACTTTGGAAAAGCTGGGGTGCATCATGAAGCTAACCCAAATGCTCCTAAAGGATTTGTGTTAAACTGAATGCACACATCCAAACCCTAATGCAGAGACGTAATCTGATCTGTCCACAGTAATCGGGATAGCAATTAATAAAAGGCTTTATCCTTTCCTCAGATTGGAGAGAAAAGGACAAAAACGTAAATGATGATGTGATGAGTAGGTCAAAGGGCACAGACATCATCACCAGAAGAGGCTGTCCCTAAAACAAGCCATAAACAGGAGACTGTGAGAAAAGCAGGAAGGGCTCGAAGCACCCTGTCTTCACCTAGGTGGGAAGGTCTGCACAAAGACTTCCACTGCCTTCGATGCAACCTCATCTGCTAGATACTATGGTCTAAACCTAGTTTTCCTATTTAGAAACATGATATTTCAACAATATTCAATTAATATTCATGCATTTCGTGACAAATGCAACTGCTTCCAAAACCATTAACTTTTTAGGTAGCCTTTTCGCAAAAGCACACAAAATTGTACTGTGGTAGACAAGGTCAAACTCATGGCTAAAATAAAGGAGTGTGGCTTGTAATGAGTAATTATGCTCATTTATGCTTGTTGAGGATCTGGCACATGCCACTGCACTAAAAATACACGTCCACAATGCATTTTCCAAAACAATTATGGAGAAAAGCCCAAGATATTTAAGAATGATTTATTGCACATCAATATAACCATTTTTAAGGATTTTTAAATGCATATGGGAAAGTTGCTTTACCATTCTGTCTTTGCAAGATTGGAGATTTAAAATAAATCTGTACAATTTGGATACACCCCAGAGATGTGGGAACAATCATCAAAACTAACAAAATGCAGCCATCAAACCACAGAAAAGTGTTAGCTATTGGAGCTCACGCTTTTAAAGCAGCAACACAATTATCACCTTTCCCACAGGTCTGATTTCAAAAATTGAAACCATTCTCTAGTCTATCTAGAATAAGTCAGCATGGTAACCTGGGGTTGAATGGAGCTTGGACAATTTTTGTCAGCTAAAACAATGCCCTTGGTCTCCAAAACTAACTTCTGCAGAGCTACAGAAAGTCATGGTCAACTCAGAGAGAACTCCTGAACCTCCCAAGTGGTTCCATTTTACAAACAACATTTTATAATTATGACAAGTGTTACCCTACAGAAAACAGGGAAGTTAATGGTCCAACCAATGCTGGACTAAATTCACAGAATCATAGAATCATTAGGGTTGGAAGAGATCTTTAAGATCATCCAGTCCAACCATCAAAATTCCAGTTTGACTGCTTCAAATAACAGCAGAATCGCTGCCTTAATTCCTGTGTATGCTGCTGCCCAGTGAGAGAGGTTACTCTGTCTTGCAACTACTCTGGTGAACTTTGTTGGGAGTACTGGCATCACTCCTACCTATTCTCTTTCTTTCACAAGTAGAGCAAAGAGATCCAGGCTGATCATTTCAAAGAAATTTCTTTGCCAGCATTCCCTGCATCAGATGATGTAGCTTTTCTGTTCCAGCGATTCTCTACGCTGACCCAAACTGTAGTTTTGCCTGCATGCCTAATGATCTAAATTAGAGTCCAGGTCCACTGAATCTTAGAGTGTACTGAAGCTTTTCACCGGCAAACTCCACATGCACATCATCAGCCTTTACCATCCATACTGCTAGCACTATCAATAGCAACAGCTACAGACCTGACACAGCATTTGCAAGACTTGGGTGAAGCTGAATACAAACATAGAAGCTCTACTCAAAAGCTACCTGAAGTGTCACAAAATCAGCAAATCTGTAATTTCCTTTTGGGTCCCTCACACCACTAAAAAAAGCAGCTCTGGTGTTTTCAAGCCTTTTATTTTTTTTCTCCCTGACCTAGCCAAAACTACAGAAGTATCTGCAGAGCATTGTAGATATGTCATCCCTGTATTCATCCGTTTCTTTCCTTTGTGTTTCCCTAGGCTGATTCCAACAAAACCAGGATTGATGAAGCCAACCAGCGTGCAACAAAGATGCTGGGCAGCGGTTAAATGCAGTGAAGTGCATTTCCTTTTAATGCTGTCCAACAGGGCAGCACCGTCATGCTTTTATCATGGTATTTATCTACTAGGTTTGCACACATGCACATATCAGCCCCATTGTAAATGTTGTCCTGTGTAGTTTGTCAGCTTTCCAAAAATGATACTTGTAATTATTTTTTTCTAGATATCTTTCTTTCCAAAGGTTTTGTACATAGTGCTGATTTGATGGCTATAGCTCACTATGATGTTTTTTGGGGTTTTTCCTTTCCTTGTTTCTGTTTTGGATTTCTTTTCTTTTCTTCCCTCTTCTCATTTTTTTTTTTAATGATGTGTGCTGAATGACAACACTGTTGGAATGCTAAACGTGCTGTTAACCTTTAAATATACAGTATTGTTCTTGTAAAACTGTGACATTCCACAGAGCTACTGCCATGCTCCTGTCTTTGGGTATCATGATGTTTAAGCACTTAAACCTGCTGTCTTCAGTTCTTCATTGCCATTATCTGTTGTTATGATTTCATGATTAGACAATGTGGAATTATATTACTATAACAAGCATTGCACTAAAAAGTGATGTGATTTATGCATTTATGCATGAGGAATAAATAGACTTTTAGACTCCTACTTAAACAAGAATTTTCCCATGGCAGTAGCACACCAACAATGACAACAAAAGCATGCTCAGTATTCGGACTCTTTTGGGACTATGTTATACCAGCAAGTTTGCAGTTGTGCCACTTTTTTCTTGTTGATATATATAGTTATTAATCATGATCATTTTTTTTAATTATAAAAAAAGAGGGATTTGGCACTCACCATTTAGCCATTGCCAGCAAAATAAAAGCTTGGCTGAAAATATGTCAAAGACAAAAAGAAATAAGTGTAATATATTGGGTTTGTCTGCTGCTTTTGAAGACTATCTTTTGGAGAAAGCAACTACCATATGAAATGGTGCAAAGAAATGTAATTTTTATAAGGCTCTCTCTTACTAGTCGCTATCCCCATGTGGTTTGTTATCAGTACAGTTCTCTGTTGCTTACCTAGAGCTATGCACACCAAATCGCTGAGATGTTTAGTAGCTGACAATTAAAAAATAATTAAAAAACCTAAATGAATGAACTCTAGATAAACTGTGAGATAAATATCATTTACAGCATGTAATATGAAAAATTCCTTATGTCTCCTGTCAGTTTGTGAAGTGATTGACATTTTGTAGCTAGTTTAAAAATTATTAAAAATTATAGATCTCAGAATCCATGCTTGCTTCATCCATTTGTTGCCCTATGTGTCAGTGACAACTAGCTATTTGCCACTTACCTGGGAAAAGGAGAAGTGCAAAGTCTAAAGACTCTTTACAAACTGGTTCTCTTACAGGTAAGAAACTAAAGATTTTGGTTTGCAATACTGTAGAAAAGTAACTACTCTAAAATTAGCATTTTACACTCAGTACATTCCAAGTGAACATTATTTTAAATAACCTGACTTGGATTATTAAACACTGAATCAAAATATTTTCTCTTGTTCAAGGGAAAGAAAAAAATTTAAATTAATGTTATGGTACAGAAGGATACAGCTCCTTAGTTGATAAAATCTATTTCTGTGGTGGATCTAGCCACGTGCTAATACACCTCTTTTTAGGGAACACTTTGAACTACAGAATTTGTATAGTCTGCTAAGAATAATTTTCTCAAGTGACTAACAACAACTAGTGTTTACTGCCAATGAAAAGTGTTTTCATATTTTCCCAGGGTTTTTTCCCCTATATGGACAAATTATAATTATTTCTGCATGAGTGACAGTTCACTCATGTGTCTCACATGGCCGTAAGTCAAAATACACAAAGAACATAAATTCTTGCATAATTAAAATTGCATGATAATGCAGACAAGCTACATTTTCTTTAGCAGCTTTTTATTTTTAGTATCTATTAAAAATTCATTTATGCAAATATTTCCCCCCACTACTTCAAACCAAAGAATAAACTTCAAGCAAACATTTTTAATCTGCTGACCATTCCCAATCCTGTCCTTTTGGAGATTCTAATATTTGTGATAGCACAATGATTCTGAAATGTCAAAGTCTACTGAGGGAGGGCAATAATCCTGCTAGGAAATGCATCAGAATGGGAACATACGAATGCAAGGGTATTTGCAAAGGGCAAGAAATATATAAGAAACTAATGAAGATATTAAGAGAGGTATTATTTTCATGTTTGACAAGAATGAGCTCTGTCTGATGGTCCTAATTCCATTAAAGCTGATTTTACAGTTGCTATGAAGGAACATGTTTTAATGTCTGTTTTTGTCTTGAACAAAGATCAGAACCCAAACTACTGGAACATTTTGCCAAATGTAAAGCTTAAAGGATAGAAATACTGAAATATTTCATTGCATCTGTCTTTGTATCCTTCTCCACTGCATGCAGGGTGTCCTAGGAGCTGGCTGAAAATTACTTCAGTAAAAAGTTTCGTATATTGCATTTCTCTGATGTCTTCAGAAATTGACTTTGGCAGGACTAAGTATTCTTGAAATAATTCAAGGAAAGGCTTGATCTCTTCCAGTTTGTCATTAGAACAATCCACTTCTGTTTGGTAAATTCGGTGCCCATCAAATCCCTGATGGAGCAGCTGACTCAATATAGCAAAGATGATATTCAAAATGGAACATTGCCTCAAACATGGCATTTCCCTTTCTGCCCTCTTTCTCCCTCTGATTTGCTCCTGGTTCCCTGATACACTGCAGACTTCCCCTGAGGCTGAACAAGCACAGTGCAATTACCTGCCTGAAGGGCAAGGCTCACTAGAAGGAAAGAGGCAGAGCAAGGAGCTGGAATTAGAAGTCCCATAAGATAAAATGGCTATATTGATCATGGAAACAGAAAACAAACAGGTTCTCTGAAGGCAAAGCCTTCTACTCCTGGTAAGAAATTTCCTTTTGAGCACATTATATTTTCTTTTGTCCCTCTACCAGTGCTACCTGGAAATCCAAGTTTGAGTGGGGGGAAGAGAAAAAAAAGAGGGTGCTCAAAGACACAAAGTTTTATGATATGTCACTTATTTCTAGACTTTGAACACAATTTCACCAACAGTTTGTAAGATGGCAAGATCCTTGTGTTAGTGTTGGTTTGATGGAAGAGCTTTTTTAACATTCTCAAGAGCCATATCTAAATAAACCACCCATCTGGGTAGTTTTGCTTAAAAACTGGAGTCAAACTAAAAGGAAAACTTCTGTAGAGCTCTAAAAATCCACAATTAATGACTTCTTTCATATCATGCATTCTCCTCCTTTCCTAGTCAAGGCTGGAAATGGATATATCAAAATAACCCCAAGGAAGGATATTTGAATGTTATTCCTCAACAGAACAAAATTCGTATGCATCTCCTGCAAAAAGAAAGAAAATCACCTTCATTAAATACCTGGCCTGGTTTCAGCAGTGAGAAACTCAGAGAGAGAATTGGAAAAGCTGAGTAAAAATCCATGTGGCTTATCTCAAAGAAACCTTAAAATTTTTAGGATGCTAATGATTCCCAACCTAAGCATAAACACACAGCTTCTGAACTCAAAAGGGTGTATTGCTGCTTTCTGGATTGACACAAATACAAGAACAGGAACTATGGATCACATACAGCACCTTGTGGTTTGATAGAGCACATCCTGTGAAGAGCAGATGGATTTGATGCAGTGGCAAAGAATGGAAAATAATTGATTAGTATTCCTAAAGATTTGGTGATATTACTGTATATAACAGAAAAATATTATTAAAACCAACTATTAATGTTTAAATTTTTTTAAGAAATGTAAATTTTATCAGCTTACATGAGTTAAATGCAATGCATCCTTAACTTCTGAAGAAAACTAAATATTCCAGAATTTGCATGGCAAAGTATAATGCATCAATTAGATGCCTGTACCATGTGACATGCTTATTACAGGTATGCTTTAAATCTAGAAATACTGGTGATAACTATTCTCCAAAATATTCTGTGTGCCACACTACTAACTGCTGACCTCCACAGGCTTTGGATTTGGACCTAAACCTGGAGAGATTGATGAAGACTTTTGAGGGATCTAGAAGCAGACAAAACAGTCCCCAAACCCTTTTTCCCCTTCCTCCTCCTTCTCCTGTGTGCACATATACACATATAAATCTTTGATTTTAAAGACATCGAAAAGGGAAGAGGCAAGTACTTAGTAATAAGGAAAATTATGTGTGCTAGAGACAGCTGAAGTGTATGCAGGGCTGCTGTGTGCGCCTGTGGGCGTAGGTGTGTAGGATGTGACTGCTGACTTCTGAGCCATTTTGTTGCCTTTCTAGAGAGAGGACAGTTTGTTTGGAAGTTAGTAGAACACTGACTATTTTTAGACCTGCAAGAAGCTCCAAGAAATGCAGACACAGGAGAGAAACCCTGCTGAGAAGTTAGGGCATTGGGATGGTTAGATGAGGGCGAGGGGGACAGGGTCTAGATGATTTATTTTACAACGCACTTGAAAAGTGTTGGATCTCCTCTGTAACAGTATTCAGAGAGGTTATGTTTGTAGTGTAAAATACCAAGCAGTTTTAAATGTTATTTTGTAATTAAAAAACATCCCCCCAAAAAAAGGAAAAAAAACCCCCAGATAACAAAACCAAACCCACAAGATGGTGATGAGGGAAATCTAAATAAACCATTAGGTGGGACCAAGCTGATTCCCACACATTTGGGATATATTCTGAGACCACTGCTGCCCATGCAAAACCTGCATGTAATGGGGTGCACCAGTATGGTGGAGCAGTGGGTGTTGGATGGAGGGCAGCTCATTCCCCTGGTGGGCTTCCCAGCTCCTTGCTGAGTGGAAAAGCAGCAGATGGGGGATCAGGGCTCAGTTCTTGCTTTGCTTAAAACAGTCCTGTGGGCAGGTGTTCATGGCTGAGTCCCAGCCTTGGACTGCCTTTTCTTCCCACCTACCAGACCACAGCTCCCTCCACGCTGCTCCTGCTCCAGTGCACCCCATACCTCTGTCCTCTTTTCCCTCGATGTCTCTTGATGATTTTCCTCACTCCCCCCAGCACCTACTCCAGTGCTTGTTCCCCACCTGTTTTTCTGGTGCTGAATTCACGTACCTTCAGCCTCATTCCCTCCCTTGCTTCACATCCCTCCACCTGCATGTTTTTTACGCCTGGGCTTTCAGCCAGGCTTTCTCCTCCATGACTTCAGCAGAAGCACCAACGAAACAAACAGCCTCCTGCTTTCCACTCCACAGCTGAGCACCATGGCAATGTCACCTGGGGGGACACCTGCAAGGAAGTCTCAGCCCTGACAGTCCCATTGCAAGGGGGATTTTTTTGATAGCCTATCCAAAACTCTCCATAGGCTAGTGCAAACAAATACGTATGGCTAGCTGAGGACAGGCAAACAAGCACTGGAAATGTATTTCACAGGAAGGCAAGAACTGAAAGGCTCTCCAGCTGCCAAATTTTGTGTCCCTAGTCCACAGAACTAGTAGCGCTTCTCCACGAGGCAGCTGGAGAATCTTTCCTAAGAGAAGTACAACAACTCACTTTCCCTTCTTCCACAAATCTCATCCGTTAAACTACCAAGACTTTGGTTCTGGTTTTGGTTTTGTTGTTTCTTTTTTTTTTTAATTATTATTATTTTAAATTTTACCTAAGCTTTTAAAACCTGTGCTTTGAAAAAGCATGGAAGAGGAGGAAGTAGATTTCCCTCACCTCACCTAGGATAACTATCTAGTGCTGGGTTATTTAATCTAAAATACAGAACAGCTCAAGTTGACATGAAAAATAAGTTAAAATGAAATAGTGTATCAGACATGTTTTAGTAAACTTCACTGTAGGCAGTCCTAAGTTAATTTGCTAAGTGTTAACTTAAATACAGGCAGCTGTAAGTTCCACTTACAGCACAGTAGGTTTTCTATCTAAATTCTGATCAAAAGTTCATTAAAAGGAACAAAACAGTTCTTTTCCTCATTCATGGGGGGTTGATTAGACCTCCAAAGCATGAATATGCATAAATCCCACTGTGCTGAGGGTATCTTTGGCTATCAAAACCAACAGTACACAAACTTGAGCAAAATGTTTTTAAACCACCTTTCCTATTTTGACGTGACCATAGAGTATTCCCAGACTTTACTGTATCAACAATAATACTTCCAGCTGATGACAGTGTTTTGTTCACTGCCCTTGATGCTCTGCAGGAGCCCTAAGAGCCTGGGTGGCTCTAGAGTCAGTTTATAAACTCCACGAAAACACATGCTGAAAAG